TAAACACATTTCATTACACCAAATACACAAAATAATGTTCTTTTTTAGCAACATCATATGACCCCTTTAATCCTATTGGCCAACGAGGATCAGCTGAGAATGAATAACGTGGCCTGCCTGAACCCATGCGATGCATTGTTTGGCAAAGTACTTCTTCTCAGTGCTTCTTCTTGCTAGTTTAGGTGATAGTTTCACTGCCACCTGTAATATAAGAAAACTAAGGTAGGAGTGAAAATGGCTAAAACCTCTTGAGCGATGTGAGCAGAGGATCATGTGACAGAGCTAAGCGATCACACAAACAAGACTTAAGACTCAGTTGTTTTTCTCTCTTCAGCTGTTCGTCTTCACTGATGGACAGGTGGGAAACACTAAAGAGGTGCTGGACCTGGTGAAAAGTCACGCTCACTCTCACAGGTAAAGGTCTGCTGGGTTTGATCTGTGCTTCATTCATATCTTCATCACTAACAGTAACAGAGTTTGTGTCTTCAGGTGTTTCTCATTCGGGATTGGTGAGGGTGCAAGTGCCGCCCTCATCACAGGAATGGCCAGAGAGGGATCTGGTCACGCTCAGTTCATCACAGACACCGACCGCATGCAGCCCAAAGTAAAGCTCTCCACTGGATTTCACAGGCACAAATGTTTCCTAGTCAAATGTCTCAATGGTTTCTCTTTCTCTTCAAACTATATCAGGTGATGCAGTCGCTCAGGTTTGCGCTGCAGCCCGCTGTGGTTAATATCTCTGTGGATTGGACCCTTCCAGATGGAGTTACTGTTGACACACTGTCTCCACCGATCAATGTGCTCTTCCAGGGTCAAAGAACACTCATTTATGCCCAACTGAAAGGAGAGGTGAGATGATGTAGCATGTTTTTAATGACAATTGATCTGCAATCTAGTGTAATCAATCTGCAAATTTACAAAGCACAAAGTCCACATCAAAATGAAATAATCACTCCAAAAGAAAACACCTAATTTGTAGTCCTACCATTTTTTCCGTGACTTCTCTACTTCAGCAAGTAACACATATACATAATACATGCCTACTGTAAAATGTCATGCTGAAGTCTTTGCAAACATGGTTTGGGCTTGAACTGGTACAGCAAAACCGTCGACATAATTACAATATGTTTACAGATGCTAATGAAGCCTCAGAAGCTGAAATCAGTCGCTTATGGAAAGGGGCATTACATTTTTGAAACGCACTCTTAGTGCTAGACCAATCACATGCATGAATCACTTTTATGGTGCTTTTGTGTCCCTTTTTGAAACTTGAAGCTCCACTGCTCACAGTTATTTGTAATTACATGGAAATGCATTTCTTCTCTTGAGAATTTCTCTTTTTGTGTTTTGTGGGGGGGAAGACTGTCATATGGGTTTGGAATGATATGAGTTTGAGTAAAGTTTTCCTTTAAAATTGACTTCATAAAAACAATAATTTTTCAAGTTCAAAAAGTTGAAAGTTGAAAAGTTTGCCATTTCTTGTTGTTGTAGGTACTTTGTTGTCTTTTTTAATTCCCTATTCCATTGTCTCCACTCTCTCATAGAGTTCAGGAGGCTCTGAGGGAACAGTGACAGTCAAATACAGTCTGAAAGATCAACCAGTAACAAACCAGCTCCACTTCTGCCTCAGACCAACTGAGGAAACTGGGTAAAACACATAAACACACTGAAAAATACACTGAACTGGAGTGACGTGAGCCGTTTTTTTTTTTTTTTAAAGTAACATGTCCACTCTCTCATAGAGTTCAGGAGGCTCTGAGGGAACAGTGACAGTCAAATACAGTCTGAAAGATCAACCAGTAACAAACCAGCTCCACTTCTGCCTCAGACCAACTGAGGAAACTGGGTAAAACACATAAACACACTGAAAAATACACTAACTGGAGTGACGTGAGCCGTTTTTTTTTTTTTTTTAAAGTAACATGCAGCATTATTGTATCCTAAACAGTAGAGTATGGTACTAGCGATGCCAAGGTCATGGGTTCGATTCCCAGAGAATCCATGAACTGATAAAATGTATACATTGAATGCAATATAAGTTGCTTTGGATAAAAGAGTCTGCTTATCTGCTTATAAAATGCATAAATCTAAATGTAAAGTAACAATAAATCCCAGTTTTTGCCCTTTTCCTCCATGTTTCTGCAGGTTGTCCATCCACCGGCTGGCGGCTCGGACTCTGATCCGTTCTCTGGAGCAGGAGGAGAGGTCAGGTGCTGCAGATGTTGAGGGCATCAGGAGCAGGATGGTGGAGCTCAGTGTTCAGGCAGGAGTGAGCAGTGTTCATACAGCCTTCATTGCTGTTAATAAAGACAGCAGACAGACTGTGAAAGGACCCCTGAAGCAGAGAAGAGTGCCGACACGCGGTTAGTGCAAGGATTGTGTTTGTGTGTGTTCTTTGGAAGAGTGTGTATGCTGGATATCTGTGTCTTTTTTTATTTTAATTTTAAAATGTTCCTGCCACATAACATTTGACATTTGGTGTATTTAATTAACCAAACTCAAATGCTGTTTTAGGGTCACAGTGGCAGATTTTACAGGGGAGTGGATTTAACAGCATGTCAAGTTTTAGTTTTCTGGCACAAGGTTAGTGATCATGTTGTGTGTGTACGGATGTGTGTGTGAATCACTTTTCCTGTTACTTGACTATTTACTATATTTGATGTGTTCATCTCAGTGGGATATAAAATTAAGGATGCCAGCATGTGGTGGTGGCTTTGCATGGCAAGCAGAATCACTCGCTCATTAAGAAATTAATGTGTTTTTTAGGGATGCTATATGGAGCCATACCTGGTAAGATAAATAATATAGACTCTTGTTTTTCAGTTTCTCTGTCAGTGCTGTTGTAGTGCTCTGATTGTGTCTGTATGTGTAACACCAGGTGTCTGTAACACCTGTTTGTGTTTGCTTGACCTCATTAAGATGTGAAATGTACATTTTTCTGCTTTAGGAGGGATGTGGTAAGGTGTTATTTCCCATCTGTTGTGTGTGGGGCTCCCCATGTGAAAGTGTGGTGTTTACTAAGAAACGTGTCTCAACATTTTGCTAACACACCCACTTCAGTAATGTTCAGTGGAAATGACTGGCCCTTTCTCCATATCAATCATGCCTATTCCAGAGCTTTTCATGTTTGTTAGTTCTGTTGGTCGTGTCTGTTTTTGACCATTTCTCCAGATCTGAATCTGTTCTGACCTTTGGTTTCTCTGCTTGTAGTTGCACAAACTGCTCAGTCAAGGGCCTTTGGAAGCTTTATGTCATCACCAGGTAAATGCACCTCAATGTATGCTTTATGTCATATTGCAAAACTGTTACATTTGTTAACTGATTTACAAGCCTCACCAAACCACACTTACCAAAATTTTAGAATGAGTATGAAGCTGTTCACACAGGAAGCGTGCACAGACCACATTGAAACAGAAATTAGGGGTCACATTTTCCAAAGCTACATTTAACTTGACACAGTAAGGCATCGGTTCTGACAAAGTGAATCAAACACATATAGTTTAAAACTACCAGTGATATGGCAACATATAGATAAAGATAAAAATGAATGAAATATGCTACCTCGTTGTTTCTCTCTCTTTTGTTTCATGTGAGAAAAACTGTAACGTCATATTAAAAAAACAAAACAAAAAAAAAGGTTTTTATATTGCCATTGTATTAAAACTAACAGAAGATATTAAAATGTTGTCTGGAAGACAATCCATCCCTATTCCAATGGGTTTTTTTTAGTTCTGTTGGATGTGTCTGTTCTTGGCTGTTTCTCCAGATCTGAATCTGTTCTGACCTTTGGTTTCTCTTTCTGTAGTTGCACAATCTGCTCAGTCACTTGCCTTTGGAAGCTTCAATTCATCTGCAGGTAAATGCACCTCAATGTTTGTTTTTTGGCATATTACTAAACTGGTACAATTAATTATTGGTTTACAAGCCTCATCAAACACATACAGTACAGCTTAAAACTACCTGTGATGCTGAAATCAGTGTAGTGTTTGTGACAACGCATAGTTAAAGATTCACATTATGCATTTTTATAGTAGTGTTTTATAAAAATGAGTGAAATATGCTACCTCTTTTTTTTAAAGGTCATATGATGTTGCTAAAAAGAACATTATTTTGTGTATTTGGTGTAATGAAATGTATTTATGCAGTTTAAGGTTAAAAAAACACATTATTTTCCACATACTGTACATTATTGTTTCTCCTCTATGCCCCGCCTTTCTGAAACACGTCGATTTTTACAAAGCTCATCGTTCTGAAAAGCGAGGTGTGCTGTGATTGGCCAGCTATCCAGTGTGTTGTGATTGGCTGAATACCTCAAGCGTGTGTCGGAAATGTTACGCCCCTGCCCTACTGTCATGCCCTGTCCGGCCGGAGCGATGATTCAAAAACATGAAAACCCATTATAA